TAGAAACTTTTTTTTTACCTCAAACTATTTTAAATTTTCAATGGCGACAGAAGATGAACTTGAACATTTGCGTAAAGAACTAACTATTTCCCGTCTATCATATGGTGAGTGTTGACGAATTTGGTTTTTTAGTCCTTAAAGAGTTTTATAATTTTCCGCTAAATCGAGCTTTCATGGTATCTAGATCAACAGCTACACCAATCGCAAATTCGGTGTCGAGAATTGCAAGTAATCAACGAAAGTCAAAAGCAACGTTTAAACGAATACCAATCACTCCTCGAACGATATGGTAAATTTAAAAGTGAAAAATGGTGATTCGCTTCGAGGTGGCTTGACGTCTTTTTTTTTTTTTTTTTTTTATAACAGAACAAGAAAAGCAAAAAGCTCTTAATGACTGTAAAACTGCGAACGAAGAAGTTGACAGTATTCGTTTTGAGATAGCACGAATGGAAATGGCGTTGCAAGAAGAAAAAGCAAGTCGACTTGCTTTAATCACAAACAAGGATCAAGAGCTACATCAAACAAAAGGTAATAAAACATTATAAGAATCAAAAGTTAGGCTAGTAACCAACTATAATTAGGGTGAAAAAAAGAATAAAAATGCTAAGTTGTTTATAATTAAATAGAGGCATATGAACAAGTGGCGGTTTTACGATCACAGTATCAACAACAAATTTTTGATCTTCAAAATGAACTGCAATCAGTTAAGAAGAACGAATATCAATGGAGGGTAAGTATAATTTTAGGAAAATTATATTTTAGTCATTTGAATTATATAGTCACGTAGTGTTATTTTCCTAATAAAAATCCAATTTGTTTAATATGGATTGAATAAGTGAAAAAAATTTAATAATTATTGAATATTGATTTATATTAGAATAAAGTAACAATTTCAGATGTGGAGATAGACTCACTCAAAAGTCGACTATCTTCGATGGAGAAAGATTTGATGCATTGGAAAGACCTGACAAGAACTACCGCGGAGAGCAAGGTAATATAAAGGCATATAAATTTGTATTTTGAATTGATTCAATTATGCTTAAAAAGTTTAATTTTAGAATAAAGAAATCGATATACTTAATGGAAAG